CCTATACAGTAGGCAATACAGCTACATTACAAATGCGGTATTCACGTAAATTACTACAAACTTATCGATGAAAGCTAAAATTTCGTCTCGGCTATTCATATCCTGTAAATTTATTACAGCTGCTTGATTGGATTTCTCAAGGACTAATTAAATTTAGTCTCGTAGTAACTGCCCAACTATCTAGATCATAACGTTGATTACGCCTAAATCTCTTATTATATATTTCATTCTAAGGTAATTTAAAGGTATGAAACGTAAAATCGATATATTAATTTTCTTATTCGTCATGTCTGTTAATTACATCGCTCCTAAATGGGATCTTGAGATAGATAAAATAGATCCTCTTATATTAGATAAACGGTTAGCATAGGCTAATTTATTATCATAGTTATAACTAGCGTTATGACTTTCGAATTTCTCTTACGATTTAGGTTATGGGACCATAGTAGGAAAGTCTATGAGTATTCTAATATATGACCACGGCATAACAATATAAGTATTGGCGGCTCTATCGCGCTTGTTATTTTACACGGTATAATCAAAACTAATACTGTCATCTTACCGGTAATTTACTTGTATTTCTTAAAGTTACTGAAGCATTGAGCATAAATCTGCTTATATCTAGTATTATCCGACGTCTGTAAGCGATAAATTTCCTGGATCATAGATTTTAACATCTCCTTTCTATGGTATTAGTATTCATGTAGATATTTTTACTACAGACTTAGTTATGGATATGTTATGGCCAATGTTGGGATTACAGAATTACCGGTAATGGCTAACTGATTTGCTAACACCAGCAATGACTTGATTGCTACCATTGGCCGTAACAGACATACTTATTATAATTAACAGTATTCGACAGCTATCTTTAGCAGTGCTGATACTAATTGTTTAAGAAATATTAGAATTATTAATGTTAATGAGATACAATGAATGCGAATACCAATTACAAATTGACCGAAGAAAAGTTTCTAATAAAACCGTAATATTAAAATTACAATTTAAGTCTAGGATTACTTAATCATGAATAAGGGTTTAGGTGAATACAAGATTAGACAATAGAATTGAAAAATAATTTTAAGTGATAGGCTAGTATGTACTATACACTGAAGATAGTTTAAAGTTTTTACCCTACGGAAATAATTACGAATATTAATGTATAAAATTGATTTAAAATTAAAGCACAAAATAGAAGGCTGGATCACTGCAAAGGCTGAAATCAACACAGAAACTCACGAACACATCAAATATAAACAACGATGAGTAATAACATAAAACGCTAATTGATCTGAATATAATTAGCAGGGGGATAATACCTTTGAAACCTATTACAATAGTAGCATATTTTTAAAATAGTAGTGATTACTTAAATATCATGGTAACGGGTGCTAGATATGCCATAGTTTGATAGTGATAGTTCATTGAGACCGTAATAATTTTTCTTGGTAAGATAAGACGATTAAAAAACACGTTATTCGTTGAAGTGATAAATTGATAACAATTAATGATTACAGTTTTTTGCATGTGTTTGCACCAATTAAAATCGATAAAAATTAGATGTATCTCATTATTTATAAATGTTCTCGTTTTTGCCCTCATTTTTATCAAATTCAGTAAATTTTTATTGTATCATTGTTAATACTGTTTAGTGAAGATTAGAGAAATATTTTGATTCGCCTTTATTACATCTTATCGTAAATTATTCATTTGTATTTTCTTAATATATCAATATTACATCTCAGATTTTTGTAATATTTATTGCTCCTTATCTATGCAGCAGCTTAGCCCAAATTGAAATGGGGACTATTTGCGGTCTTAGCAACGACGGTTGGACAGTTTCCAGCATGAGTTGCATTTATCAGGGAAAGAACTGTTAGTACTAACTAATACTTTTCTTATTACTATAATTATACGATGTAGCAAGCTGTGAGTTGTATGGCTTAGTTTTTAATTGATTATATTTATTACAAAGGCTAGTATTGACAGGGACTACTGAAGAAAGAGAGGGGCAAGAAGCAACTTTTCACCGACAAAAATGTCAGGGCCAACTTTTTTGCTGGTCATTTTAACTTTTTCTTCTGTAGTCCTTGGTATTATCGTTCGTAAGAAATAGTAGAACCTTTAGTTAACCCTGAATTATTTAATCATATACATAAACTATAGAAATGCAACACTGGAGCACTGGAGATGAAATTCCATATTTTAGTTTCCGATGATGCCTATTTGAATAATTCTACTCCAAAAGATCATCATGTTCTACGTTACTATTCCTCCACGTATCATAATAACTTATTTTAAGGATGGCTTTTTGTAAATTTAAGTGAAATTTTTTCATTGATTGCTTATTTACTTACGGATGATGATATATGACTGATTCAAATCGATAATATATGATCAGATTATATTATTAAATCGCTAAAATCGTAACGGGAATCAAAACTATCTTCAAGAATATAAAGCATAGAAAAATTTCACAGCACAAAATCACTTCCAAAGTGTTTAGATGTTAGATATCTCGCTTCCTTTTCACTGATAAACATTTAAGTGATATTTTAATAGACGTCAGAATAATAATGCTTCAGGATACGAAAAATATTATGAGCAAGAATAGCACATGATTACAATTAGGTAGAAGGTGAATACGATTATTGTATGCAATTAAAAATAATTTTTAGGTAATCAGTAAATCTATTATCTAATGTCATTAAATGAACTAGATTTGTTAGCCTAGACCACCTACTGATTAGCATGGCCTACACATTGATAACAAACATCTGTTTGCTAGAAGTCAACTTTTAATCACAATAATCAATACAATAATGACAAAGTTATTATTAATAAAGGTAGAATTGTTGACTAACTATGACAACAAATAGAAAAATCGTCCAAGCTACAAATATTAAAGCTGGAAATGTAATAATGCTATCTATAATATGAATTAGCTGTAACTGATTTTCATGAGTGATTGTGATTACCGGGCATTTTTTCTTGTTTAAATGCACAAGAATACGCTATGGTACGGTACTTGGGTACTGTTATAAAGATATTCTTAATTTGGGTTATTAGCTCACTCCTTTATCCGCTGGTTAATGGAAAAGGCAGTTAGATGTGTAAACAAAAATTTAGAGGTGCAGAGCCTATTGGAGACCTAGATTATATATTTATTAATGGGACTTAACGGTAAGCAATTAATATAGACTTCTTAATTACATTCAATCAATGTTAATATTTATGATTAATAAGCCCGTATATCGATGTTATTGTAAATTAAACCCTATATTCTTCGATAATAATATTGAACTTTCTAAAGATTACCACGTTTAAAGTAAGCATAAAACATTGTGATCTTAGATGGTATAAAATGAGCTGAATATAATCGATATTAATTTAATACAATCGAAATACATCACTATTGTTAATTGAGGCGGTAACCGTAACTAACTACTGTATTATTATACTTTCTTTATCACTAAACAGTTTGCCGGCTGTTTATCATCTTGTGAGTAATATATTTGTTTATATCATTATATGAAGATTAAAAGACGAGACAAAGCAGTTAAAATGAATAAATTAGAAACAGACGGTTGATTGCATCATATACAATCATTTGCCAATCTATCCATTATTTCTTGGTATGTTAATCCTCAGTTGTAATGTCTTGTAGTTATATTGTTAACTAGTTTTTATCATTGACGACAGGTGGACGAATTTCTTGTAGCTACAAATTTGATGTAGAATATTGATGATAAATCAAAACGGAAGTCCATGGTAAATAATAAGTAACCAATATACTGTACATTGCATATGATTTAATTTATTATTATACGCGTATTATGGATTGGACATTGTTGAAAGTGCTTACAGCCATTATTAAAATAAAATTAAATAATTACTGTATGCCCTGTAATAGCTTCTAATAACACTAGTTCATCGTAGTAGGAAAATATCGTCCTTTCATCTATCAAAGTCTATCATCTTTCAGTAATTGCATTGTTAGGCTTTTGAGGTCATGACCATTAGGTTTTATAAAATACGTAAACGTTAAAAAGAACCTAATTGTGTCATATTAATACCAGTTGTAGATTACAAGTACAACGTAGTCAGTCATCGCAGTAAAATGATTTGAGCTAGTAATTTCTCATATTAGTACTTACTGTAGTTTACGAGGATTGCTTAAATTGATCGTAATTGATTAAAATTAATAATATTTCTTAGTTCATTATAAAGATAATTGTAATAAATGCTGTCATGATTTGGCTACTTGATCTTAATCCTATGAATGCAAGAGCAGATTATCGTTCTTTACTGTAACAAATTTAGATAAATTAATAGATCAACAATTAATTCAAATCTTGACTTTGGGTGCCTAATAGCAGATCTGCCATAATTCTATTAGAACATGGTCTTTTCGCTTATTTGGCAAAAGTGATATGAAGACGAGTATATATATATACGCAGTTTCACACATTCCACACTCATCGCCACTCTTTTTAATGGCTGGAAAGTCGTGACTAGCTAATAGTTAAACCTAAGCTTTTACAGGTGATAAGTTATCGATCGTGGTCGTATAACTTTTCGAAACAATTACTTGCGAGACATAAAAGCGAGAATAAAATAAAATAAATAGCTTTAATCGAGTAGGTAATGTCTTGATGAATATTACAATGTAATAAAATAACATAAATGTTAAAGCAGCGTCAAATTTAGGGAATCAATAAAGAGTTATAAGCAATTTGCTATTGCACGTGTAAACGCTATTGAATTACATGGCATTTATTATTATCAGTATGACTATAAATTTCTGAATGGTACAAATACTATTCATACGTACTATATTAAGCATACGACAGTCAAGCTATCGTGAGAATTTATTGAATAGTGGAATACCGTTTGCGATCAAACGCAGCAATATACAGTATTTCACGCTAGCTCTGTAAGTTATATCCAAGTATTTCGTATCTAATTCTACTCGTTATTTAGCATTGCTAATAGGGAGTTTAGCCAGTAACAAGTTTGACAGGACCATGATTATTAAAGGTCACTATTTTTAGAGCACGCAAGACCTTGAAGTGAAAAAATCACAATTGGGTTAGACCAAACAAAGTATAATAGAGAATCCATTGACTCTGAGAGAGATTAACATTGTAAATTGACCAGATGTCAAATACGCACACCATTTATTTGTCTTGTTCGCAAAACATTGAATTTATGTATGTACAGTATTGTAACGGCAATTGTGCTAATTACTTACTGTCATCAAGACAGTTATTAAGAAATTAGTTTTAATCGTTTATTATCTTATATAATAAATCTCCGATGGGTAGCATAATTATTTAAATTTACCGGCAATTTGTAATCGTTATATTTACTGAATAACACTTGCATGCTAATACCAACTGTAATATAAGTTAGGTCTTAGGTACGTATCGCGTACCATCGAATATTTAGATCAACTGTTATCAATCTAATACATTTCATGAATTTCTAGAATAATTAAAGTGATCTATGTTATTGCAGGGCTCATGACTTTCAGACCCAGACAAAATTGAAACAACTGCATTCACGTTAATATCATTGCAATTAAAATCTATCTAAAGTATTGGTACATAAGCAGGAAGTCCACCTACAATCAATTTCTTCTAATGTACCATAATTACGCATTTATTTAGCTACTCTACCTTAAGCTTTGCGGCTCCAGTTGCTCCGCTTACTCTTAACCCTAAGCTTTCAATTTCTTTAACCGTCAATGAGGCGCTGCTAAAAAAATTTAATTTAATCTATATAGTAGCATGTCAAATTGCTCATGCATAGCCATATATTTGCCCTTACTAATACTGTAGAGTAGAATAGTAAAACAACAGAACTAGACAAATACTAATAAATGTACAAACCTTGGTTTACATTTGGAGAGATGATCGAAAATTACTCTATATACCTATTTAATAGGATTAAATAAAGTAAATCTGTCAAAATTTTTAACCATTCGACTTCAGTTTCTATACATTAAGATTTCAAGCACAAAAGTTTAAATAATCTATTAGTAACCTTGTTTATTTCGTCCACCTTCAAACGACCACGTACAAGTGGCGAAACAGAAAGAAATTCCTCCTGACTAACTGCTACGAATAACTTTTTACTACGCTTACATTTTTCTAGATATGGACCATTTTATATAGTGCACCAAGAAATAAGATCAAAATGAATACATTGTAGAAGTTACACTAGCATATAGGGTATATAGGAGTTTATGTGTGTATACAGTATAGTCAGATCCGAAAATGTATATATTTTTAGGGCATTGGAATATAATACATTGTGCACAAAACTTAACTGATTTCATTATTCCTTGCAATTTTTCCTAGAGCCTAACAAAATGTGATAATAAGAAATCTGTCAGCGCAATTGATCAACGTAAAATGCACTCGAATGTATTTCTTCTCTACTATTGTACATTTCAAGATCTAGATGTAAACTTTCACTAATCTTACGAATTTATTATCATCGACCCAATCTTCTGGATGCGTTACATATTCTCCTGATACTAAAGATTTCGTATAAATCGTACATATGAAAGACAGAAATATTTAATGAACTTTACAAGCTCATACTCGTATACACCGTAGAAAGAACTGAATGTAAGATACTTAAAAATAGCACGATCAAGTCTGAATGGTTGAACACAAAAACAAAACAATGAATAGAGCTGGATTTCATAGCGAGCAAATGACAAATTTCTCCACTGCTGTATCTCATCAATAAATAATTTTGATTGCAAATCTTTAAATTTATTAGAGTTCATCTGATTTTCAGGTGTATTTACGATTTCTACGTGAAGATTAAGGTACTACTAGCAAAACGTTAATACAATTATTCACATCTTTCTTAATTATTCAGATTATTGCATTTAACCAACTGCAATACGAAATACGGGCTTTACCTTTACATTTATTATCTATTTCATTTATTAATGCATTTTTCTTTGTTGCTGATTCAGTTACCTACACAGTAGTTCGTAATAGATTAGAGTATTTAGTATCACAGAATTAGATAAATGTGTAAAATACTTCAATGGTTAATCCCAAAATGAAGCTCTTTTGCACGGTTTGTGATATAGAAATATGATATAGCCAGTAATCAAGTTATTCATCAATTAGGCTTTCTTCCTCACAGTTTGACGGCAAAAGCGTTGAATTATTTCTCTAGCCTTGGAGCTTGTTTCGTCAGATAGAGCAGCTAACCTTTCTGCGAAGATCTGAAAGATGTTATGGCATTCATCATGAGAATCTGTTGCCCGCTATAAGAGAATTACGCAAGTTTCTCTATTTAAAAACTAAACGGATACATTAAGAAACGTATATCGGTATACTAACTGTCAATTCTGTAAAGCGTCTTAAGGAACGTCGTAACGTGTGTAATTATATTGCAGATAACAAATACTGTACTTAGTAATAAATATATATATTACTCGTGCATACTACTGTACAGGAGTGACAGGTTTGCTATTTTTGTCCTGGTAACTAGTTAACTTTGTATTAAAAATCAGGTCTTACTCCTTGCTCCTCCTTTAATTGTTTATAATCTTCGAATAAAGACGTGAATAACTTCCTCTGATCTTCTAATCTTTGTAATTGTCGATACAAAAGAAGCTATATTTCCGTCCCGTTATATAACAGTAGAGAAAAAATTGATTATTTAGAAATTAAATCGTTGTAACATCAGATCAACAACGAAATGATAAAAATAATTTTCTTGACTCTTTTTAGTATATCATACGTATGCTACAGTACCGAGTCATTTGATGGTCCATAAGCAATAAAGAATTGATTTTCTTTTCGCTTAGAGATTTGTTTAAGGCGTTCATCATAACTGGTTATCTGAAAGTTGCCAAAGTGATAACGGGTCAGTTCAACTAGCCACAAGACTACTATACAGAGATTAAGAGATATAATTTGCATCAGGACTGCTAAAAGTATACGAGTATTCCTTGACTTTTTTATTTATTTCTCATCGTACTATACTGTACTGTACATGTACTGTACCACTGCACTATATATTACAGAGTCACAGTGGTTAATATACGGCACGAAAATATATGTCAATTAGTTATAAAACTTACTAGCTCCTGAAAGTTCTCCACTATCTTATCCATTTTGGTTTGATTTGACTTTTAAATTAAAAAGTTAACAGTTATTATTATTATTATTAATAGAAATCCTTATTAAAAATGCCCGCTAAAAAGATTGTAAAACTGATGAAAATGTACGCGTGCGCTATCACATATTATTGACAGCGCTGTATACAGCACAGTACTGTATGCTGTACTGCACACTCACTTCACTGTACTGTACAGTGTACAGTACTGTACTGTACTGTACAGTATAGTGTACACTCTACAGTACAGTAGTGTACTGTACAGTACATGCTGTACAGTACTTTCTAACAGTCACGCTCATTATACTGTACTGTACTGTACTGTACACTGTACGGTACAGTACAGTGTACACTACTTCGCGTACTACTGTATACTGTACTGTGTATGCACTTAACGGATCACCTGTAATTTATAACTTCATAAATAAATTAAATAGATCAAATTAAGTTTTCTATCATGCTTTCGTGTACTGTAGTCTCAATTTAACAGACAAAGCACCGTAAAATCTCGTTTAAATTGGGTTTTAATTTTTTACAATTTTCGTAAGTACAATATATAATGATACTGTAGTAACGTGATAAGCAGTATGAAACTATAGTTGAAGCCTGTAGTTAGTAGTTGATTTAGTAGGTGATTTAATGTACTATACTGTACTGTATCGTACATACTGTACTGTACACTGTACAGTACTGTATGTCACGGTCCAGTAAGAATGGCCCAGTGTACACTGTGCAGTACCTACTGTACTGTACATTACAGTAGCCGAGCCAGTACAGTACTGTAGCTTACTGTACTGTACAGTACAGTATACAGTACAGTACCGTACGCGTATGTACAGTACAGTACAGTACAGTACAGTACTGTCAGTCAGGCTCGAAACAGGTGGAAATTTCGCGAAATATACAGTAGTACTGTTTTAAGTTAATAATTTAATTATTATCATAATTATAAATTATAAATAGTGTATAACAGCGTGACACACGTACAAACGTATTAATATGATTTGATACTAAAATATCTCGAATTAGGCGATAGTATCTTGATTTATGGTTTGATTTTCGCAGGTGTGTGACTGTAATAATTAGAATTTGATTTGATTTGATTTACTGTATTTCTGAATTTGCGGTCGAATCAAATCATGTACCGTACAGTACTGTACTCAGTAAAATAGTGTATTGGACGTTTATAATATCGTATTTTCAAATACTGCAGTAAGCGTTACAAGTTACAGCGCGTATACTGTATTCATTTTACTGTTTAATAGAAAGTAACGAAGTAATGTTTGATTGCAATATGTCAGATTATTGGACGGTTCGAAGAGTCAGCGGATGAGGACTTAGTAGCCATTCACAGAATTATACGAGTTGAAGCATGGACTACTAGATACACCAATAGCAGGTAGTCCATGGTTGAGGGCACACTTGTGAATTCTGTACTGTACTGTACCTGTTACTTACAGTTAATAAGATTAGCATTCTAATTACTATGACAGTTTGACATTACTGCACTTTTTATTTAAACAAATATGAGGATCTGAATAGGACCGTATGCACCACTATTGTAAGACTGCTCACCGATATAGATACCCACACTGGCGATACATGCTACAATCGGTAATACATTACGTTACAGGTAACTGGTAAAACCATACCAGTCTGCTACATTCGAAAAAAACTAAACCCTATTTAAAATTTGTAACACATACGTACAGTGTACACTGTACATTCTATAACGACCCAGGAAAGATTGCGATATTGCAATGTATGATTTATTCACTTAACTACACAATGCTTTACAGATTTACTAAGTCTGGTAGACTATTGTTCTGCTTAAATCTAGTTTAAACGACTTATACTAAATCTGTAAGGCAAAAATACAACACAGAGTATATATATAGTTTCAATATAATTCTCTTCGACGTTAAAATTAATCAATTATATATTATTGAGCAACTTTCTAGAGTAATTAATATGATAGACCTTCGTACATGGTTTCTAAAATTTATTCCAAGTAAATTGAAATATTTTTTAGTATTTCTTTAGCGCAAAATAAGCAAAAATATTCAGTAGCATATTAAATTTTCTGTATTTAAATATTAAATATTTTATCTTTAGAGTTGCTACAGTTCAAAAATTAATATATCACCGAAAACTATATGCGTGTCTATGACTTGATTAAGTTAATGGGTTGCGCTCAGTACGAAATTATCGCTTCGGATGACATTTTATAAATTTTATTTACAGACTAGCCGAATCCTGCATTGCATATACGACGTACACTGTAGGATTATGCGCTAATGTACAATGTTAAATCAAGTCGCGTAGGCGAGGTACAGAACAGTACAAATCGTCTCATAGTCACCTCTTCATACAAAAAATTGCAGTGTTAACCTAGATTCGCATAGCGTAATATCAATCATGATTATACTACTACGTTGACCCTAAATACCGTGCTACTGTAAATGTAAAATTTCTAGATTGCAGTAAAGTATGCGTATAGTCTGGGTTGACTAGATGAAAAGGGTGATGGTAACGACATAGAAGGCATGACATTCCATTGTTTAGCTTAAACAAGCGTATTGTACGCAAGATTATTAAAAGGATTTCCTTTCTTAAATCAGTAATAATTGATGGCTGCAGCATGTTATGCTATCTGTGTACTATGAGTTACTGAGATTAAGTTGTAGTGTTAATATTGCACTCAATGTTGTCGACTTTAAACGTTTAAGTCTCACCTATTTTAGTGAAGAAAATATGCAGTAAATCTTATAGCCATAAATTCAATTCAGAATTAAATCTTATAGAAATTACACAAAAAATGCTGCAGTATTTTTGATTTAAAAGTTTATTGATCGTATCAGATTCGATGCAGACACACCAGTTATTTCGAGTACGATTACTTATTTAAATGATTCCAATCTAGAAGAAGAAAATATACTTAGATCGTGTAAATTTCTATTATTCCAATAGCAACAGTTCTACCTTATTAGCAACGTCCAGGGCATCATAATCTGAAGTTAATCTGACGTATGCTTTCTTCGCTCCGTCCGGCCTAAAGAGAGAATCATAGAGCGTTCACATTCATACAGTAAGATCCTTGTTGGTATGAGGTAGCAATAGGCTAACACTTTAAGTCTGACAACAGAAGCGATCTTACCTAATCAAGGTATTAACTTTAGCAGCATCGATATCATACAATTTCTTAACGGCAGCCTGAATTTTTGGCTTACTGGCCCTTGTATCAACAATAAAAACGAGGGTGTTGTTGTCTTCAATTTTCTTCATAGCAGATTCGGTAGTCAAAGGGTACTTGATAATTCCATATTGATCTAAACTCCTGGTGAGAGGAACAGATCGACGAGGATATTTAGGATTTCTACGAGGCTTGAAAGTCTTTGGCCGATAAAATCTAACTTTGTTATGAACTTTTCTTGTTCCTTTATTATTAGTGCCCTTTAGCACCGATTTTTTCGCTTTCAAGGCTTTTGCCGTATTGGAACCTATCATTGATCATAAATGAATAGCATCTGGTAAGTTTTGAATTTGCAACATTTAATCCTATTTCCTGGACAGATTCTATTTCACAATTGTCGAACATCGCACGGATACTAAAATGCGAATATCGAGAAGTTCTTCAAATACTAGTTCAAAAGACAGATATGCATAAAAATATTCGGAATTGTGATACGCATAGGTATGCTATTAAACAATGGCACTAAATTAGAGACAGTGCGTTGAGAATATCGCTCTGCCGCATCGTGTGTTTGTCCAAAACCTTCCCATAATTTACTTAAGTCATCAATCAACAAAAGAATTTGTAACGATTGCACTGCGACTAGCGATACAACAGATATGGTATGCGCATTTAAGTTTAATTAAAGCCGAACCAAAGTCTACAGTATAATAAATAGTTCATACGTATTACCATAATGTTTGATTAAGGAACTCGGTGAACATTATAATGTTCTATGAATCAGAATCATGAAAGCAGATATATCATAAATAGAAATCTGCGTAACGCAATTTAGTAAATTTGGAATCGAGTATACTGTAGGTCAGCTTGACATATTCAGTCACTTCAAGGAATGTATAACTACTGCATACACAGTTATCAAGGCGCGCTAAAGCGCTAAGTCATATTACAGTACTTTAAAAATAGCTTTATGTATGAATAAATTTGATACAGCTGCATCGAGGGCAACCAACTACCCTCAGTTTCACATAGTACTGTATAAAGCAGTAAATTGAAAAGTAAACCTTAAAACAGATACTGAAAGATGCAACGGATGAGCGCCAGCGAACCTTATACTAACTAACTAAGTAACAATGAAGTCTAAATTTTCATGACACTGTACTGTCATATGTGCAGTCCATCATTTTAACATAAGATTTGGCAATAACATAGTGAGTATTTTCACAGCTACGAATAAATATCCCAACTCTAAATATAATGAGTTACGATATTTAGTAATTAAGGTGCGCGTAAATACTATCTATGTTGAAGATTTGATCGGATTTTAATCATTTACTTCTACTATGAAACTTACAGTTTCGCAATAAGCAGACACTGAACGGCCTTTATGTTTTATTTTTCTGGGATCGCGATTTATAGAAAGGTAAATTTAGTATTATGCTGTACTACGAAAATTTTGAGGTAGAATTCTTATGATGTAGTGATTCACGTATGGTACTTGACTACAGGCCCTCCACAAATACTGCATTGCCAACTCAATAATAGCATATACAAGTAGCGTATCGTGTACAGTATACTGTATAGTAAAAGTTTATTAGATTCTTTGAGTGTGATGCAACAACGGTGAATAAGTGATTGCACGACACTAATCGGCTTAAAATTTAAGCTGTTCATTCATATCACATGTTATATAGCTACGTTCAATACGCATTAGTTAATTAATTAAACTTTTTAGCTGCTAGCAAGCACACGTGTGGATTAGTTCTCGTAACGATGTTAACAGTACTGTATGGACAGTATAGAGTATAGTAAAAAAAATACTGCATGGGAAATCGTACAACAACGGCACGACACGGCCGTGAAAGCTTTATAGCTGAAATCTTGTTTAGATTCGCAACAATATAACAAAAATCTTTTAATAATAACATTCGGATTAAAATTTTCTATTTTGAGTAAAATAATATACGAAAATAAGATTCGGCTGACCACATACCCTTTTGTCCACTTTGCTTCTTAGCAGCCATGAGGTCTCTTTCGCTGAGAAAAGTTTGGAAAAGAAAATTCTGAACGTTCACCTGATACTTGTCACATACTGTACTGTACAGTACAGTACAGTGATTACAGTTTTACAATCTACAGTACTGTACAGTACAGTAGAACTAAAAAAAGAGCCTTTTTTACCTCTAAAGTACTGTACAGTACAGTACTTTACTGTACAGTGTACAGTGTACAGTACTGTACAGTACTGTACTGTACTGTACAGTACAGTACAGTACAGTGTACAGTATACTGTACAGTACTGTACAATCTGCACTATAACCAACTACAAATTACAGGTTTAAATACGCGTGCGTGTCGGGTGGCAATCAAAATTGTTGCTATGCAACGTGAAATATGGCTGCAACTCCGAGTTCGGAAGTGTTTCGAGCCAGATTGAATTCGTTATGTCTTCGTGATTTTCCATGCGAATACAGTCAATGGGTACGTACAGACCATAAGCTATGGTCAAATATTGTAATTTACGAGTCTAAGCACTGTATTGGACATTAAAAGAAGATTAATAATATTCTTAAGCAGATTGATTCGCAAAACATAGTAATGATCTATTTGAGGAAAAGTCTTCTGTTTCGTGACTCAAATCTGATTATAGGCAACAAATTATTGCCGTAAATTGATTAAACCAAAAAGTACTTAAGAACTGCAGAGATGAGCTTGGAGTAAACTAGACTTCACTTCTTTGAACTCAGAATACTTTATATCAGATTCTTGAATTATTGCTCTGCTATGCTTCAACTCTGTAATAAAAGCCTTTTCTCTAAATTCTATATTGACTGAGACAGTTACTTTGTGAGGTACTTCTATCGCAAACATATAATAACGTAAATAATGATTTTATTTATTCTTACCATTTCTTTAATTTCTTATAATTACCCGTATGCGTGCCTATATATAATACAGACTCAAAGGGAAAGGAAGAAGTATTCCAAAGGTAAATTTTAGATTTGATTAAAATGTTTCGATTAACTCGAACAATTATTTTTACCTGTTTGTATGCGCATATTACTCAATTGATTCTCTTAGTAGCGACTATTCTTGTAACATAAGTTTTTAATGATTTTATTCACCCATTTAGTACAGACGCTTCGGTCTAAAAACTACTGTAATAGTATAAACACCAACGTTAAAGTGTAGTTCTCTAACCAATAGTAACGAGGACTATCATGCGACAGTACAGTACAAATAGTAACATACTAAAAATGATTTCTAGGAGAAGTAATCCACTATGAATCTAAAGACTCTCTTAAAGAACTAATCAAGAGTAAGGTGTGGAACCATGATTTCAAGTGGAGTCGTGAAGCGTCTGAGCTACGAGAATTAGCAATTAAGTCTCCATGGCTAATTGATGATGAATTTATTAGAAGCTATTTTAAAACCTTACGCTTTGTAGATGAGAAAGTAAGATAAAGATTTCATTTAATTGAATTATATCTAGTATCCAGAATTGAAGTTCAATACAATTAATGTATCTTAATGTATAATAAACAATGATACTTACTGCATCTCTTTATCTACATCGTCTTTCTCTATTCGTAAGTTATAAAAAAATGCGAACAAGGTGCTATAACGTTATTTATTTATTTCATATTCATTAGTTAATATGGTAATTATTAGCATCTTGGAACTACTATTTCTTTTTAACAATTCAATTTCATCTTACAAAGTTCTAATTACCATAATGGTGGTCGATTATAAATACAGATTTTTAATCGATTCTGCAAGCAACATTTCTAGTCCATTGTTTATCACGTTAAACAAGATGTTACAACAAACTCATATGCTGGTTTTCCATAATGCTTTTAGATCACGCAAATTGATGAAGGAATGCTACAATTAGTCAGTTTGGAAGAACTTACCTTAAGTGCCAACAATTTGGTCACAATAGAATCTAAAAATTTGCCTAAGTCCTTACAGGTATGTTATCTTCCAGAGCAAAGTAATTTTGTGATTTTGCAGGCGTTGTTAATTTTTTATTGATGTTTTTCAGTTTTGTTTATCACTTACTGAAATCTGATCATAATCATTGCGATCTAAAATATCTTATTGCTTAATGTCACTTAATATGCAGGTACTAGAGCTGTGTGCGAACCAAATCAGCGATTTGACATCATTATGTCGACATCCCTTGCCTTTGCGACACCTAGGTCTTGGTTACAATCGTATATCATCTCTACGAAATTATTTCAGTTCTAACTCATGGTAAGATCCCACTTAACAACCAACATTACGGTATCTCGAAAAATAAATACTATGTTTGCTCAGTTAGTTAACGAAAAACGTTTCGATTTGATGCTTAGGCCTCACTTATTGTCACTGGATTTAAGTTATAACAATTTAACTAACTTGCCTGACGTTATGGCAACTCTAGCGTTGCTGCCAAAACTTCGTAATTTGGTTCTACAAGGAAATCCGCTTTCTGTAAGATCATGCTATGAGAAAAGCTAAATCTATTAAGATTCATTGATTTATAAAATGCATATTAATATATTTTATAATGACTTGTATATTATATCATAATTATTCGTAATAGTTTTCACCAGCATATCGTGGAGCCTTCATTGATGCGATTCGTAGCTTGACATCTCTGGATGACATTCTGATTACTGCTGATGAGAAACATCATTACAAGGGAATATCTAAATGTCAAGGTTGATCTCAGTATAAATAATTTCTTATACTAAGAAAATCATACACGTGAACTTCAACATGCTATTTAATAAAAAAATGTATTTCTAAAATTTACGATAGCAGGAATAGTTTTCATATTTTTGCTAATAAGTTATACACTCGTAATAAGACTAACTAATTAACATATTACTGCAGATCCTTTATTCAACGGTGCTTGCGTACTTGTATGTATAAATTTGCTGAATAACTTAAGAATGCCGGAAGAATTAAAGGTAGCATTGAAATTTGATAGAAAAATTAATTAATAACATAAAGTAAAGCATTTTGAAAATAATTTCTCTAATGTCAACCTTTGCCGTCACAATTCATCCGTATCATTATGAGACAGTAGTACAATAACTTTTTATGAATTATAGGGTTGTGAACCTCATATTCCATACCCCGTTATCGAATACAAATATTCAGTTGAGTTTACTATCCCCGAAAGTAATCAACCAACAAACGATCAAAACCTGTATCTGCACTATGGTAGAGTGTGCAAGCCCCTAGGCTTAGATGAAAACCCGGAAGCTATCTCAAGAAAGCACGATCGTAGGAGGCAACGTAAAGACTATCAAGATAAACGAAGACAAAAAAGACAGGTTTACATTCTATGTTTCTTCCGATATCTTTGCTTTAACATAATTCATTGACGCATAATTAATGAAATAGCCTTTATTATCTACTGATCTAAAACGTATCATTTATATAAGGAATCGCCAAGATTAAGAAAGTTAGACGCAGATGGAAGGGACGGTGAAAATTCTGATGGAGCACTAAAATCAGAAACTTTTGTACCTGAAGCTGTTCAACTTCAGCCCAGTAAATTTTTAATTGACGAAAGTGGTTATCCGTTAACGGATTGGATAATGGATTCTAGAGTAGCTGAAAAATGTAACATTAATGATTCTGAGTCAGGCGAAATTCAGAATCCTTCAGAAAAACGAATACAAGCGAGCAAAACTTGGGTAGCTCTTGACGGTATAAGTTTTCTTCCAACTAGTGTCCACAGTGCATCAACTCAGGGACATATTTGGTCTGAGAGAATGAATTATGCCTTTGAATATTTATTTACATGCTATGATTTGGCACATCTTCGCGATTACTTTGCTCAAGGAATAACATTGGCTGTCATAGAAAGTCGACGATATGGCTTTTTAGACGAAGTTGATGCAATCAATTATGCTAAGAACAGATATGAACCTACAAAGGATATTGATACCGCAGACACCCTTCATAGACCAAGAAGTACTTCATCAACTGGATCTAGGAATGAAAAATTACAAGTCAAAACTAAAAAAGATGGTGTTCGTATCAAAACAATAAAAGATCGCGATAAGGTTGGACTTCCCCTATAGTAAAGTTGCCATATTGACTAATTTATAAATTTTAGTATTATGTTTAATGGGTATTAGGACTTCGTCAATGGAAAAAGATTGAGCTATCTTTTATGCTATCAAATTTTCTGTTGCGAAGACTGATCTAATGAATACTTATATACTATAGGATCATCTAAGAGATAGGGAAACCCAAAAAGATAAAGAATACAAAGATTATCAAAAAGATCATGCAAAGGATGTCAAGCGGGGACGGAAAAAGGATAAAAAGCAAACAGATGAACGTAATCTTTTCTATACACCAGTAGAAAAGAAATGCATAGCTAAGACACATTTATCGTTAGTATCTTTATGGGATGGTGAGATGTCTGTTCATGCAAACTGTATTTGTACAAATTTGGATAACGAAGGGCCAATGAAAGCATTAGAACAAGATATGGAGGCAGTGGCTATAGATGCTCCCATTGTCGAAATTATCGATACGAATAAGCGTAATGCGAAAAGAAGAGAGTCTACAGAAGTTGAATTCCCAATTGGACAACGCCTGAACAAGAGGCGAGATTCGAGTGATAAAACACTATTATTAGCTGAAAAAAAAACCGACGATGGAAACAAAATGCGTCGACCAAGCTTTAGTAAAGAAGAAGAAAGGGGTAATGAAATAAACCCAGTGAATCGAGGTATAGCTCACAACGTACTAAGAGTAGACGAAAAATCAAATCATAAAGCGCAGAGTAATGCATCCAGTAATAAATCAAGTAAAAGTTTAAAAAATGAGGAAAAAAATAAAAAAGTTACAGTTGGCCAGAAGGTAGATATTGAAGAAGAGACCGTAAATGGCAAAGTAGAATATGCTCCAATCTCGATAGATGCTGAAATTAAACTTTTACGTTGGAAAACAGCTGCGGAAGCGTACGAAAACAAGCTTTGGCACTTAAATCAGAAACAAGAACACAAGATTGAAGAAGGGTAGCAGCAAAATGCAAAGGAGAACATTGTGACTAAACGATTTCTTTGCATAATTTGATTATCGAATTCTCTAACTTCGAAAACTTACTGTACTCGTAACTGAATAATTTATCAAGATTGATATATGAAATGATACGAGTATTATAGCTCGATCGCGTATCTCATAAATTTAATATGAACCGTAACTACTGAAATTTTGGTATACTTGCGATAGCATCGTATTTTGTTGAATGATGTCATATGATATGGATAGTGGATACTGTGTTATGCAGGTGATTTAATTTTTAGTCTTTTGCCATGTTCATTTCTGTTATCCTTTTATCGATAAAAAGTGTAAATACTGCGAAGTAATGAAAAGTATTAGCGTTCCTTTGCTATGATAATATAGCGAATAATCGATCAAATTTTTAGTCTCCTGCGAAGCTCATTTCTTTTATTTATTCATCGATAGAAGCGTGTAAATACTATAGAGCCCTAAAACGTATGACCATTTCTTCGCTATGATATTATAGCGAATAATATTGATATAATAACAAATATATATAATTAATCGATACTATCTATAAGTTACAGTACCGCAACATACCGAATTTTTCGTTGAAGTTTTGCTATCTAAATGCCCCTGAAGCTATAAAGCATGAATATGTATAATCTAATTTCATTTCAATGTAAACTCATAATGTAATCGTTAATAATTACGGTCCTCTTTAATGCCTGAACATTATTGTAAAATTTTTTCTAGGGTCTACATTGGAACTGGTAGTACAGACCACGTAATAGCTGTTACGGTTTCATTTTAAGACGTAAGTCAGGCATTTCGTGGCATATTAAGACAAACTGAAGCTGTCAGCTGAATCTAACTTATTAATTATACGGTTAAAGTAGTATTCACCATAATAATATTAAGTTAACTTTTGTGTATATATGTCGCACTTAATCATAAGACTTTCTCAATTCCTTATTGTGTACAGTATATTGCGAACCCAACGGCATTACATAATAAGTTTATTGCTTTATTCGCGATATGATTACTACTGTACCATGATATTCAAACATGAACAGAAAAACGAATAAAAAGAAAGGTATCATAATTTAAAATCTCCTCTGCCCTGATGGTAATAGCTTAGGTTTACTGCATGTAATAGTAAAAGGATCGTTATTAAAGAGCACCTACAGCATAAAATAATCTCAGACAATAAATACCATCAGGTAATAGTGTTCGATGGCGAACAAATGCTATTGCTTTATTCTATGTTTCGTCTTTGGTAGAAATTTACCATCTTTCATCTTGCACTAGCATTCAACACCAACTGTAGTCAGTTGATAAAATGTATCATATAAATTGCAGTTGACTACTTGATAAATTAAGTTATCACTACTTCAAATTTCCTTTCCTTTCTACATCAATCATGTTTTAATCTAAAACTGCTATTGTCATTGTAATACAGCGCTTGTATTTTCCACTTATTATTCTATTCTTTGCTAATTCGTTTCGCTCATAAAAATTATTCATCCAAACTATAGAAGACGCAAACTGGACAGTAAATTCGAACTAAGCACTGTAATGTAGTATAACTGAATTAGTTTAAAGTAAATCGTATAATGTTTGATACATGGGTATTACCCATACAGTACCTATACTGAGGTCTATAACATTATAAAAAATTTAGGGGAGCCCCTAGAGTAAAAGATTTAATCTGGTATGAGTCATCACTGAGCAATTTGCAGCCTATGTGCCGATAATTATAAAACAATATTCTGACAGTTTACTAGCTAAAATTTGCCAATAAAATTCCGTAGCATCTACGGTATGACTACCATTTCCGCCCAGATCTCAGGTGTATCTCCTTGATCTCGCTAGTAAGCAACCCGCTATATCTCCATAGACATACAAAACCCCTTATGTTACATAGTGTACAATAAATAAAGACAGTGTATTAAATATCATAAATTCTCTCAGTTACAGCACGGTAGTGTACTACATTATGTAATGCAATCAGATGTAATGATAACTTATCTCAGAATAGAATCTCTTTAAAATATGATGTTATGATACGAGTATAAATAGAACGTTCTGTAGATTCATGATTCATTCTATCATTCTTTCGAATCTTCTACTGATAGCCCACATGTTATATATAAAAGTTTTCAGAAGGAAGTAACCGCTCTGTCTTATGTTCTAATATATTACCTTCTACTTGCTGCAAATAAATTATATCTAAAACTAGAATCGCGTCTTTGTGATAAGTTAAATGCATCGCATATTACACTGTTCAGTTCGATTAAACTTGACGCATTGTACTGTGTGACAAGGCTCAAACTACGAGCAGCGTCTGTGGCCTGAATATGAGAGATAGTATATTCAAAAGGCGAAATTGGATTGGATTAATCCGATCTAGATTTAGACTCTAAATAAAAATTATTACCGTTATCTTACTACTCTGAATGTCAGTCTATCGCAAATCTAACATTACTCTGGTTAAATGTTGGTTAATAGTAATTATGCAGGTCTTGATTTAATACTACTAAACTTTAACACCGCACTGAATCTAATATATCATTGCGGTGCGAGAGAAATCCGATGAATAAGAAGAATCAGAACGATTTAGAGTACAAAGATATCATCCATAGTAGTAAATCCGATTGTTTCTCTTCTGTCAAAGGCTAAGCTAAACTAAAGCAAGATTTTAAACAACTTTTTGGTACATTCAGGTTATAAACATTTAACCTGAACGGTTTAAGGTTAATATACTACACGTAAGAATATACGTGTAGTCCTATGTATCATTAATTATTGAATAACAGTAATGAGTAATAGGAATGTGTAAATAAGCTACTTCTATAAGTACAGTATCACAATGAATTATAGAACTATTCCTGTTTTAACTGAATGTTATGCTGGATTGTCGGTAGACTTGAAAGCTTACAAGGAAACTATTAGTCAATAACATTCGCCGTTGAGGTGATAAAATAACTGTCAAGCAGGAAGCCTCGATTAGTTTGACGTCACTATACGTATTTTTATGATAATTCACAATGTGATTGATCATTTTAATAACAATATAAGGCTTTACATTAAATGAGTAAATAATTGGGTGTACATACCGTGATAGCGTAGGAATGAAATCATTGTATAAATATAATTAAGTTTTTATGGCTACTGGTGAAGATATAACGATGCGGCAATGATAATAATGTAGGCTATAATCGCTGAGCATATAAACCAACATTGATCTATTAGTAAAATACGTAAAGTACATTATATTATAATAACCGTAATACACACTCATTACACGGGTAAACTATCTTCAATAAGAAACTCCTATATTTGCCATTCTCTGTCGTTGATATTCCGTCCAGCACAATACATGATATCGTACAGTAAGTTCATGTTGCATTTAAAATAGTACTAGTTTACATTGTATTATGCATCAATCACGCTTTTATGCGGTATAGTATAACAGGGTTGCTTTGCTATCAAACGCCAAAATATTTGATTCTGTGATAAAAGAGTGAAAAAAAACTTATTTTTCGGTTACTTACGAAATTACAATATCACCTTTTAGGACGCTATCCCTAGTCCGGATCCGCACGCTATCATATGAAGCTAAATGGTCAATTGAATCAAATCTTCCATCTGTTACTACAGACGTTTGAAGTAGATCATATCTAATATCATCAATTTTAGAGTGTTATTTATGTTCATGGGTACTTTCCTTTGCCAGCAGTTTGATTTATAGTTATTATCTGAGCATGAATTGTTGAACAATTATCTTGGAAGCTATATTCCTAATTTGGTTAAGGATTCTACGAAAAAAAAACTACAAGTACTATTTTAGAACGCGACCAATAATTATAATTGGCAAATAAACAAGCATTAAAGGCAATTATTATTTTTTATAACTGCTTATAAATTTGAGGTAAGAGATTTGTTAGGAATATTATATCTGCAGTAGCTATTCACATTAAGAATTTTCGATGCTATCGGTGGCTATCTGCTTCGAAAAATAAATTTAACAATACCTTCTAATTTTAGTATTACTTGTTCTCCATACTCTTTCTTTATTTTTTAGAACTTTATTTACGAGCATGTCATCTTTAGGCTTTTTCTACTTATAATCGTTTAAAATTCATAGATTATGCAATTTGGGCGTTTTAATACATAATAGGCATATACATTGTACATTTTTAACACTAAACTAGTTATGCTGCGGTTAGCAAAGCAAGCAAACTGGATGAAGTTGCTTTGCTGACTCCAGTTTAATCATATCGCGTGTATTATATGGTTCAGTTTATAGCATATCAAATATACTCGTACGTCAAACTGCTCTGTAATGGGCTCAGTACGATACACCACTAAGAAAAATTTAAGGATATCCTGTTATTGCAGAATGTACCAAGATCGTTTTACTTATTAATATTGAAATACTGAGCTTTTAAAATTAAGTCAATGCGCGGTTTCACCATAACATTAACATTCATTTACGTGCCTTATGTTACATACGTTAGAAAAAAATGATGAGCTATGGTATCAATTGTTTAGAAAAACAATTATAGTTAGTAGTGTTTCGAAACGAGGGCTTTACCAGCTTAATAACATAATCGAACGAAGAGATGATACAAAAAGAGAATCTTTTCTAGAATCTGCTTAATAAAGGGTCAAGGAAGTTTACTATTAAGCAACAAATTAGTTCTTTTTTGCCTTAGTTAATCGTTTGCTCGGAGTATGATATAAGAAAACATGAAAATTCAAATACATTTATAGCTAGACGTCATCATCTTGCATCGAGATTAATAGTTTCATATCTCGGCTGTAACTCCATCCCGCATTCGATTGTTAATCAAAAGCTTTCCGGGATTTGATACTACCTACTGAGCTATTGTCATTAATTGTACGTCTATTATTCGGCAACCTTTGTATCAGATAGCGTTACCTAGGGATATATTTCCTTATGCAAAGCCTTTCTCTATTTACCCTTACTTTCATAGCTTACCCTAAAATTT